GGACTCGATCCCAGGACCCCGGGATCATGACCTGAGCCGAAGGCAGACACTCAACCGACTGAGCCACCCAGGCGCCCGTTAATATATATTTTTTAAAGAAACTCTCGGAAGATGCTTTTAAAACTCAAAGGCTTTAAAAACGTCAATTGTATCCTACTTTAAACCCAAGCCAGCATTTCTCTGCACAAGAAAAGCTCCACAAGTCGATTCTGTAACCAGTGTGTGTGTGTGTGTGTGTGTGTGTGTGTGTGTGTGTGTACATGCAGTGTGGTGTCTGAGTGTGCAGGCTGTGGATGACTCCGCAGGAGGAGTGTAGTGTGTGCACAGGTCCAAGGAGGTGTGTGTAGCATGTGCGTATACACAGTGTATGTGTGCAGTGCGGCATGAATGTGCAAGGAGGGTGTGTGTGCAGTGTGCTGTGTTCTGTGCACAGCATGTGCATATGTGCATGTGTGTACATGTCACTGTATTGGAGAAGGACATAAGCAATATGCTCATTCAGTACGAAACATTAAACAAGTACTGACTTGTACGTTTAAATTTAAAAATCTGTAATCTACCAATGTTATAAATTTTTTAAGTATAAAATGACTTCATTTTGCAAGGACAGAACAGCATACTAAGCCAAGTTCAGCAAAATTTAACCCGGCACATTTAGCGACGTACATGCTTCGTTAACTTAGCACAAACGGTGATTCATTTAGTCATTTTCACAGTCAAATCAGAGGTTCCTGGGGCTAGCAGGTGGGGGGAGACTTGAGGGGGGTGCTGCCTCCTCTCCCACACGCCGCCACCCCCACCGACCTCTGCTCTGCGCCCGCAGCTCCTGTAAGGGCAGCGTGCGAGAGGGGAGGGCCGCGTTTTAGAACCAATGACTAGATGAGCGACAAGGGATGCTTCTCTAAAAGAGACCGCCTTTAGGAGCGGAGGCGAGCAGAGCCCAGGGAGAGACTGGAGAAAAGACTGTACTTACAACTGCTACTAGGTTCTACCACCACCGCTACAATTGCACTAGATCAAGACCCCCAGCTGCAATCCCGAGGTCCCGAAAGCCAGAGAGGTTAGTTCAATTCACTTGGGAGAAAAACAGAAACAAGACACCGTCCAACTCCAGGGCCAGCCCTGGGTCTTGGGCCCCCGGACTACCCTGCGGGGCTCCCCCAGCTGCACGAGGGCCCGGCCCGCTGCGCCCCCGGCCGGCAATGTGCGCTCTTTTCACGTCGTGTCCCCGAGGAACGCGGCGGGGCCTGATCAGGGCCGAAGCAGCGGCCGGGGGTGCTCCGTGGCCGAGCAGGTCTGCGCCTCCTCGCGGGGGCTGGTCCAGGACCCGCGCTCGGGCTTCCTGCGCGCCCGGCGCCCCATCCCCCCACCGCCCCCGGCGGACACCCGGACGCCCGCGGCCGGCGCGAAGCCCTTCCCCGTCCGCCCCCTACTCAGGAATCTGCCCGGCTTCGGTCGCGAGGAGGCGCCCGCGGCCCGCACCCCAGCTCGGGGACGGGCCCCCAGCCCCTCCACCCGCCCGGGGACGCGCCCGGTGCAGCCCCCGAAAGCGGAAAGGTGCGCTTCCTACGGGAGGCGCCGGGGCGACCCGGCACGCACTGGCCCTGGCGGCACCTCGGGGTGGGGGCGCGCTCGGTCCGCG